TTATAAACTGAGACCCATGCATGAAAAGGCCACAGATTTGGGAGCAGTCCTCTGACCTGGAAGCCACTATTCTTTCCATTACCTATATGATATCCATCTTTCTGTTCCAAGATGACAGCCATACTAACCACACAATCCTAAAACACAAAGGGGTGGGGCCCTTCGTAGGCTTCTACTTGGGTAGGTTGCGGGAAGTAAGCCGAATCAACAAAAAGTATTGAGAATAGTGCCCGCCAAGTTGTGTGCCTGTGTGTGTACTAAAATGGATATGTACACTTGTAAATATAAATATATATATGTGTAGGTAATATATAGACATATATATCCGTATATGTCTGTATATATGTGCAAACATGCATACGTATATACTTCAGTACACACACATAGACACATAACTTGACAAAGGATAAGTATGGGGTGCCTGGGCGGCTCAGTTGGTTAAGCTGCTGCCTTTGGCTCAGGTCATGATACCACAGTCCTGGGATTGAGCCCCGCATCAGGCTCTCTGCTCAGTGGGGAGTCTGCTTCTCCCTCTCCTTCTCCTTCTGTGCTCTCTCTCTCAAATAAATAAATAAAATCTTCAAAAAAAAAGGGGGGATAAGTAAATAATTAGTATAACCAGGTCAGCTATTTAAGTAGGATATTTTACCAGACTTCTAACCCTGTAGATTAAAAAAAAAATAGGATTTTTTTTTTAATAGAACTTTTTCTTCAGTTTCTTCATCCACTACTGCTGGAGAATAGATGTGTTTCTGAAAAGTTTTAAGTTCCAATTTTAAGAAAGAAAAGCAAAAGTTACCTTAGGAATGGGATCTGTGAAGCAGAGAGGCAGAGCATCCTTTCTCCCTGCCCAGCCAGATTACAAAGCCAGGAGGCCTTCAGGCCCACTAGCCTAAGACATAGCTTTCTGCCTCAACCTTCTAGGCCTCATGGCCTGCCTGCCTGTCAACCAAAATGCATGTGGAAGAGAAAAAAGGAGGTAGCCCAGCGTCTCACTCCATTCCCAGTTCAGCTTCTGGGCAGGTTAAAATTTTTACACCTCCGTGGAGGTACTTTTTTTTTTTTTTTTTTTAAGATTTTATGTATTTGACAGAAAGAGACACAGTGAGAGAAGAATACAAGTAGGGGGAGTGGGAGAGGGAGAAGCAGACTCCCCGCAGAGGAGGGACCCTGATGTGGGCTCCATCCCAGGATACTGGGATCATGACCTGAGCCGAAGGCAGACGCTTAACGACTGAGCCACCCAGGCGTCCCGTGTGGAGGTACTTTTGCACCTTCAGAAGACAATGACATTTCCGAGCAAGGCCAAAAGCAACAGCAGTTCAAAAGCCAGGCCACCTGCTTACTTTCCTAGGAGGAACTGTTTTAGAGGTGGCTTTGTGTGTGTGTGTGTCCGTCCGTCTGTCTGTCTGGAGGGAACTGGCACTTGCCCATCTCTAAATCCCTGGGTCACGTATGGGGTATGTCCAATAAATTGACAGTGCGGTTTCCTACTGGGCTGCGGTGGCCACCGTAAGGGTGGGTTGCCTGGATGGCTGAGAATCCAGGGCAGTTTTCTTTGTAAAACTCAGGAATGATCTCAAATCTTCAGAAGTGCTTAAGAGACGTGCCGGTGAGGAGGGATTGAGGGAATGGGGAACGGGAGATACCACGGAATGAGCCAACAATGATTCCAGAACATGGGATTGGGCAAGGAGAGGACCAGAAAGAAACTCTGAATGGAACCACCTCACCCCCCGTCCTCCGACCCCCAGCGGGACCCTTGCTCGCCGCGCTGCCCAAGCTCTGTCAGTCCGCAGTGGTCGGCTCCCGGGACCCGTCGCGGGCTCTCCGCACCTTCCCGGCTGGCGGAGGAGAGTCCGCGCGGATCGTGGGTGGAGACAGAGAGACGCGAAGCCCCTGATCCCCCTCTGCCCCGCGCGCTAGACCGCTCTGGGGCTCCGGCCCTCAGAATCGGGAGGGGCGGGACGCACTTCCCGGCGGGTTCTGGTATGACTGGTCCCCGGTGTCCAAGGTTTCCCCGCTCGCAGTCACGCTCCCTCAGGGAGAAGCTGCCGGGAGGCGAAACTTAGGAGAGGACGGGAAGCAGGCGGAGCACCGCGGTTCGGAGATCGACGGTGGGAGGGAGGGAATGCCGAGCTCGGCCTGGAACACCTGTCTCCCCACCCCCACCCCGCCCACTGCGGCGCGGAAGGGCCGCAGCAGATCGGTGCTTGCAACTGGCCGCGAGGGACTGCCACTGCAAAACGCGGGACTTTGGGGCCCGAGGGCCGCAGAGCCGAGGAGCGGGCCCGGGACCTTGGGAACGTTTCCCGGGAGGGTCAGGTTTCGGCCTCCTCTCGCCAGCGCCCGCGAACAGGTGCAGAGACGGTCTTCTGGGGCCCTCCAGTTGCGCAGCCTGTGAGCGTAAGCTATACCCTGCAAACAGATCCTGGGAAATGCAGCCGTCCTTCCCCACCCACCCCCACACCCCGCCCTTAGCCTACCCCTACTGACCAAAGCCAAATGAGGAGAGGGATTCGGAATCTGCTCTGAGAGCACGCTTGGAGATCGAAGGCGCCAGACACCCGGTAAATCCCAGGTATTCTGCCCCGACTGGGACACAGCAAATGCTAGAGAAGCAACCGGTTGGTTTTCCATTTCCCCAGTCTTTAGGACCCGCGGCTTCAGGGCTGTGAGCTCAGGCCACCTGTCTTAGACTTTATTTGAGCAACGCGGCCGCAGGCCTGCGTAACCCTGTGACCTTGTTACCTCCGCAGCTGTGTGCAGACATCTATGCCCACGGCCTCGGCCAGCGACCTCAGTTAGCTGGGTAGATGGGTGGGGTTATGGAATCTTAGAAAGTCTCATCTGAGAAAGTTCAGACATGGAGAGAGTTAAGATACATCCGAAAGCTTGAAAATGCAGCATTAAAATAAAACATTTCTCAGTTTGCTTTGGCTGAAGACAAAACCAGCCCTGGGCACCCTTCCCCTACTAATTCCCGCCAAAAATGTCTTCTGGGCAGATTGATCAGCACAAGGGCCCAGCCCTAAAGTGTCTGCCATGAACACACCCACCTGGATCGCCTGGGCAGTAGCTCAGCCAAGATTCGGCTTTCTTCCTGATTGTGTGATTAAGTTAATGTCCATACAAAAGAAAACACAAGGGAAATCTCCACGTACCCTTCAAACTATATGATTCCAGACTTTACAAAAAGGAGCATCTGCTTACCTTTTTTCTAGACCTACGTTCATCTCTGAATCCCCAACAGGTAAGGAAGCCACCTAGTGGAGAAGCGATTCTGGACAATGGGGTTTTGTTTGTTTGTTTTGGAAAGTTAGGCCCAAGCAACCTGTGTTGTTGGCTGGTTGGCTGGTTTTAAAGATACTTTTGCTCCAGAGATCCACTAGTATTCCAGGTATGGACAATTTAGTTAGCCTCTCAAGCATTGTGATTTAAGGATCTCTTGAGGCCCATCTTTCATTTGCCACCAAATATCTTTCTTACTTCTTGCCATCAGATTTGCTTCATGACCAATCTTGGTCTTTTCTCTACACGTCTCCCTTTAGATTTTATTGGGGCCTGATTAACCCATTGCAAAAAACAATTCCCCAGTGCTGGAAGTAGTTTAAAGATAGCAGAACCCATCTCCCTTATTGTATAGATGAAAAAACCAGAATGCAGCTAAATCAAATGTTGCCAGTGATGATGCAGAGTCATATTAGTCATGAAGAGCAGTTAAAACTGAAATTTTGTACTGTTCTCATTCTACTTTGCTGGGCATTAGATCATTTCAGATCATTCAACTGTTGCCCAGGAAAACTGAGAGCAGGCCTCAGAGAAATGTGGCACAGAAAAGTCCTTAGATAAGGGAGTCAACCTGCTTTTTCACCCAACAGGGGTCACACAATGGATATATCTCTTTACCCTACCCCTGGTCTTTACTTGCTGTCTGCCCTAATCATAACTTGTTCTGTAGTCACCTTAAGCTAACAAGGCTTTCAAATCCTTTTAGAGGGGAAGCCATTGAATGTCTTCAATGAGACTGTGCAAGTTTCTCATTTCAGACTTTCTCACAGGTGTCCTCCTTCTGACATAGTGGAGGACTGACCAGATGTGGAGGACAAAGTGGGAAAGAACACCTCCTGTGATAGATAAGCCAGGGTAGTGTCTGTTAGTAGAGCATTTCTAGAATGACTCTGAAGAGAATAGATTAAGTGCAGGCTACCCTAAGACCTAAAAGCTCATCATTTTTATGTTTTTGCACCTAATGGTTGCTGAACAACTTAACTAAGAATTGTTGTCAGTATATGAAAAGTTCAGAGAGACTTTTCATAAGAGGAAGATCAGGAAGGGGAGGAAAATTATCAGGTTCTTCTGTATCATAATGCTCTAGGACTGGGTTTTTTCCAGAGGCTTTGCAGCTGCTCAAGCCTTTAGAAAGAAGGCTGGGCTCAGCAATACATAGACTGTCATGGTCATTTCACCTTGGTTTCTAAAGAAACTCCCCATTGGGTCTCTTAATGGATAATGACAGAATGCTGAAGGGTTCTAGAGCACAAGATACTCCTTCATGTGGGCATCACTCATAGAATTAAAGTGGGTGTTTCATCTGGCTTCTCTGATCAAGGCCTGAAAATTGTCTCTGGCCACTTGTGAAGATGCTAATTATCCTGCTGCTGAAAAGAATGCTGACATCCCACTGACAGGTTAGCTTCATGGCAGACATCTTTGTCTAAATGATTTGTCCTTTGATGAAGAAGCCCAAAACTTTCCAGCTAAAGGTTTTACAAACAATAATCAAACTTTATCTTTTCCCTTTTAGGTTCAATGTTGGCTTAGAGTAAGTAAATGTAAGTGGGACAGGGTTTATTATCGCTCTCTTCTGCTATCTCTTCTCTTCTTTTCAGAGACTCAATGAAAATAGATGGTATCTACTCAAAGTGTAGACCTTAGCCACAAAAAAAAAAAACCCAAAAAACAAAAAACTTAAAAACACTTTCCAAATAATTGCTTTGAAGAAAATAGTCATTTATTGTCAAAGCATCCAACAATACCTGGATAATCTATAAAGTTTAATAAATCTTTCCAGGGATAAAAGAAACACATAACTATTCAGACTCCATTTCACTGGCACAAAATTACACTTTGTATTAAAAGGAAATACATATTTACATAATGATGACATTCTTCATTGAAGTCCATAATCATTTCATGATACATGCACTTCCCCCTGGAAACTTAAATTGAATGGTGACCCCTTTTTCTTCATTTTATTTATTTTTGTAAGAACACAAACTGTCATCAAGAAATGCAGAAAGCATCTCACCCTCCTCCTTTACTTTATATCTAAAATAAATTTTGCCCTTACATATAATTATTACATCTAAACCGTAAGTGCTTAATAATTTAAGTAGAAACGTATGACAAATGCATCAATATGTTGCAATATATGACATTTTAAAAAATGTACCTTTGTTTTTGGAAAGTGAAAATGCGTGCATTCAAAAGAAAACCCCTTGAACAACCCGCCCAATCAAAAATCCACCATCCTGTCTTGTGTGTGTGTGTGTGTAATGTAGGTCACAGGTAAACATGTAAATGAAAAGGTTGGAGGTGGCACGTGTATGTTTGAGTGTGTGTTTCTGTCTCTGGGTGCAACGTTTCAGGTCACAAGGAAGTGGTGGAGGTCCTCGCGTGTTTTTCCTGCAGGTGGCTTGACTGTGAGTGTGCGCGCGTGGAAAGCTAGGGTCCTTTCCGTGTCAATTATGCGAGGTCATGTGCCTGGAGAGGTGGTGGCGCTCCCTGAAGGACTCATTGCAGATGGGGCACTTGAGTTTCTCCTCCCGCCGCCGCTTCACCAAGGGCTCCATCGCGTACTCCTTTTTGTGATGCGACCGCATGTGGTACACCAGGTCGGAGGTCATGCGGAAGGAGGCATTGCACTTGGCGCACCAGTTCTGCGCGGGCAGACACAGCGAGGTGAAGGAGGGCGGCAGCAGCGTGAGCGCAGAGGGCAGCTGCAACTGCAGGGGCCCCGCGGCCGCCGCCGCCGCCGCCGCCGCCGCCGCCGAGCTCTTGGGCCAGAAGGCGGTGGCGTAGAGGAAGGGGTTCTGTTTGGGCAGGCCGCCGCCGCCGCCGCCGCTCGGCAGGGCCCCGCAACCTCCGTTCAGGTCCGCGGCCCCCTGCAGCTTCACGGCCAGAGGGTCGGTGGCGGAGGGGTAGAGTCTGGTGGGGCCCACCCCGTCGCCGGGGTGGCACGGCTCGAGCGCGCTCAGCTTCTGGCCCAGCACCAGCGGGGACAGCTGTGAGAAGGAGCGCGCCGGCTGCGAGAAGGCGCTCTTGCGCTCGTCCGAGGCGGCACCCTGGCCGCCGCCCGCGCCGCCGGAGGCCCCCGCGCCCGCGCCGCCGCCCGCGCCGCCGCTGCCCGCGCCGCCCAGCTGCGGCACCGAGGTGAAGGCACTGCCCCGCGCCGGGCTGCCGCCGTCCAGCCGGCTAGGCAGAGGGCCCCCAGGCCGCGGGGCCAGCAGCTTGTCGGCGCCTGCCGGCGAAGCGGCCGCGGGCGTGGAGGCGCCGCCGCCGCCGCCGCGGTCCTGGTCCTCGGCGGCCGCGCCCCCGCCGTCGGCGGCCGCGTCCTCCTGCAGACCTGCCGCTCGGGCCGCCTTCTTCACCTCCACGAAGGCGCTGCGCTTCGCCTCGCCCGTCTCGGGGCTGGGCGGCGCGAAAAGGCGGCCGTTCTCTTCCAGGCTGAAGTAGCTGCCCGAGGCGCGGTACTGCTGCGGCGTGCACACCAAGTCCTCCTTGGAGGCGGGCAGGGGCCGCTCGGCGAAGCGACCCCGGCCCCCCGCCAGCCCCACGCCGCCGCCCCCCTCCGCCGCCTCCTCCGGGAATTTCCTCTTCCCCTTGCCGCCGCCCATGGCGTTGCCGTCGGGACTCAGCTCCGCCTCCTGGTGGCCGCCGCCGCTACCGAGGCTCCGGGCCGGGGAGCAGCTGTTGCCTCCCCCCGAGTTTTCGAGCTCCCGGGCCAGGTTGTGAAAGTCCGTGGAGGGCTTGGCGCCGCCGCCGCCGCTGCCAGCCGCAGGCTGGTTACTGCCCTCGGGGGAAGGGGCGGGGTAGTGGTGGATGGGGCCGGCTTTGCCGAACTTGGGGCCAGGGCCCAAGGGCGCCTCTTGCTGCTGCTGCTGCTGCGGGTCCTTGCCCCCGCCCCCGCCCCCGTGATCCTTGGTGCCCACGCCGCCGCCTTGCTCTTCTTGGGGGCTGGCATCAGCGCTGTGAAGTCTCTTGGGGCAGCGGAAGCGCAGATGCGCCACGTAGGGGAACTCAAACTGGAAACGTTGGCTGCATTCCAGGCATGTGTAAGGGGACGACCCTGCTTAGTGAAAAAACACCACACACACACACACACACACACACACGTGCGCGCGCGCACACACGCACACCACATGATTACTAAGCATAGTCTCCAGACCAGTTTGCCATCACCCTCTTCACAAATCCATCGCCTGAGAAAAGAGTATCCTGTCCGACCTGATCTAACTTCCCCTCCAAATCAGAGGGGAGTGCAGTAACCAAGCCAATGTCCCCCGGTTTATTCTCATCTATCGGTCCCAGCTGCATTGCGGACCATACCTCTGAAGTTTCCCAGCAGACGCCCTAAGGGAGGAAAGGCGCCAGTGCGCCAGAGTGAGCCCCCGCCTCCCCCTGCGTCTCCCCCGCTAGCGAAGGGCCCCGTCGCGGGTCGCGAGCCAACCTACCATTCATTTTGCTGTGGGATCTAGAGGGGCAGAGCAAGAGTAACTCAATCAGTTCTTTCCCATACCAAACTAGTAATTCCTCGTCTTTGGCAATCCTGCGGAGAGAGCGGTAAAACAGCTGTCCGTTTTTTATATAGGCTTCAAGGTTCTGCTCTTCTTTATCTCTGGCTGACTGGACAAGTCGCAGCCACATGAGACCTTCTGAAGAACCATTTGCCGCTGAGGTGTCTACCTACAGTTTAGAAAAAAGGAAAGAATACAAGAAGGTAGGGGGGGGGGGAGGGAGACCCTCGTGAGAGAATGAAGCCAGAGGAACCAGGACGGTTTCCTTTTTGTTATTCTTTTCCGAAGAATTATCTGAGATCAAGATTAACCGTGACCCAAGTTGGCACCCATCTTTGTGTTTGCAACCAGCAGGCAAGATAACTGCCCTTTGAAACACTGTGTCAATCATATAGATTAAGCTGTGGTTTTCATATACTGGTTGAATATCAAATGGGGGAATTTCTCCTTACAATTCAAATCAGTGTTACCCTCTTGAGAATTCACTTCTCAATTATCCCACATTACAAAACTGTGAGGAATTTTGTTTGCTTCGGAAGTTAAAAAGCAAGCTTAGATCTTAGAAACTATTCCGTGGCATTCATTCATCTTCCTAATTTTGCCTTAAACAATTAATAGATTTTCTTTGTAAAGAAAGAATAGAAAGTGGGAGGACTTATATCTTGAAACTCAAACATATGAATTTAATGATGTTTTCTTGTCAAGCCATTAACATTTTCATTAAATACAAATTCTGGGACTAGCTAGCTTCCTAGAAAGAGTAACATTTAGAGGAAAAGAAGGCCTCCTAGGTTGGAACACAAATGCACCCAATACTTACAATAAAAGTCCTTACAGAAAGTACTTAGTATGCAAATAGGTTCCACCCTAGTTGAAATCTCCCAAAGAGTTAAGGAAGTTGTGTTCATCATCAGGAAAGCCCAGAACTGAGGCAGTGATTTAGATATACCTGGCATTCCAAATAAAATTTTGTCATTTATTCCAGAAATCAATTGACAATAATTTGAGTTTAATATTCCTTTTCTTTTCTTCTTCTTCTTCTTTTTTTTTTTTTTTGGTGTGTAAAATAGGATGTCTCACATTATTTTACTTTCTACATTCAGAAACTATCTCAGCTTGTCATTAGAATGATCCTTGGTCAATTTTCAACATGGGATTACCCTCATACCCGATGCAGCACTGGCCAAGACTTACCCGGAAGATATAGGGGACTGTTCTCTTGTCTGTGGACTTGAGAGCTATGAAAGCTATGCTGTCATACAGGGAAGTATGGCTCAGGATGCAGGGACCGAATATAGCATTCTCAGGGATGTCGCAGGTGGTGTAAACACTGGTAAAAATATCTGTCAGACATTGCTGGACAGCCTTGGCATCTCCATCCCAGATGCCTCGCTGGATGCCTGAATCCTCCATCACTGGTGACAGATACACAGGATAAGGAAACAACTTATATTACTCCTTATTTACTCCTTTTCCCCTCTATGAATCCAGGCAGAACATTTCAACTATAGACATATTTTCTTGAATTTTTTCTTGAATTTGACTTTTTGCATAGCATTGATTTCAAAAATAAAACCAGTAGCAGATTAAATCTGGTATATTTTGAAAATGCCAACTGAGGAGTACTCCCGCCCTACCCCGCGCCTTTTTAAAATAATTGGAATCTTGGGATCTCAGAGTGGACCGCTTTTGAGAAGGAAAACAGGGCTAGGAAAGACAGATCAGTTTTTTGCATTACCTTGGGGGAGGATGGGCCAGGATTTGGGGGATAAAGTTGGGGAGAACAATAGGATTTTTTTTTACTAGCCTATAGACTTTTCCCGACTGAAAGAAACTTCCAATCCTTGGGAGAAAGCTCCTCTCCTCTCTTCTTATGTATTGAACTGGGTGCCCAGGAGTTGATTTTTTCTTTCTTCCAAAGAGGGGAGCAGCCTTAGTGAGCAGCAGAGACAGCCGAGCATGGCGAATGGATTTCAAGTCGAGTGTCAGGGCCACTGATTCTGTGTCAGCTAACCTTTCTCTGCAGCCTACAAGAGGGGACGTAGGTCTGTTCATTACCATAATCCAACACTGTCCCTCCGAGGCTTTAATTAAAAGCAGCAAGCGGAGGTAATTATTTTTTTCTCGACACGCTTATTTATGGATGAGGGTGAATCCCAGTTACCTTGTTGTACAAGGGGGTGGGTTGAGTTGCATGTGCCTCATGAAGTGAGCAGGTACAGGGCAGGCCTGAAGTGTCCCCTGATTGAAATACTGCAGGTGTAGTGACTGGTGAATTCTCATTCCCCCAGATATGACCCTGTTTGGGTAGACCTCTGTGGGCTCTCTGACTGTTTAATCCACAGCAATTTAGAAAGTTTAATACCCTGCTGGAGGGCTCTGTTAAGCTATCATAAAAAGACATTTTCCTTCCTATGCCACTGGACACCCCTACAAAACTTGTCATTTTTTTAAAAAAACAAAGCAGGTATTTAAATTTTAAACTGGCTTTGAACTAACTGCATTGTTAACTCTGACTGATTAAAAGATTCCCCCAAGTTGGGTTTTCCCTAATAACGTCGCCAGAGGCAGTAATTTATGTATGCTTTGTATAATTTAAGTAGCAGGAAAGAGTAGACCTAATTCTTTTCCTGAGAAGCTGTTCATTATGGAATAATATTAGTAATGTCCATTTTTATCTTAATGCCTATTAACCAATTAATCTTGCAAATGTGATTACAAGGTAGAGCGGCTGCTGCTGCTTCTTTTTTTTTCCTTTCTAGCTAACAGAGCATGAAACTTTGGTCAGCCTTTTTTTCCATTCACTCTGCTACATCCTCCAAATGTCAAGTATTGGGCTGTTTCTGCCAGACAGAAATAAGAGGAAATATCCATAAAGTAGAAACTTACTTTACTATATTACAGCATCTGTCTCTGGGTATTTTTACCCCACACACGGTAGCCTTTCTGATCTCTAAATGAAAATTTAAATACGTTAAAAAAAAAACAAAAACCTTCAGAATCTCTCATCTCCTTTTCAACGAATCCTATTCTCTCCTTTTCAGTTTCCTCAATTCAGCGTTTTATGCCTCAATTTCTCTCTTCCCTTTAAAAGTCTCTTTCACACAGGCGTTTCATTGTGCCGGGAGGTCGCCCAGTCACTTCGGGCAACAGCAGGGACGCAATCATTAAAATGCAGTTCTACCTAACAATGCGGTGAAAAGATCCTTGCTACGCCGCGCTAATAGGGGTTCGCGTCGCCGCGGCGGCCGCCACGAGCTGGCCACAATAACCGCTGGGCGGGAGCTTGGGCTCGCCCGCCGGCGTGCGGTCGCCTCCGCCACCCAGCCCTTCCGAGCTCTGCAGCCTGCTCTAGGCCCCAGCTCCCGTCGCCCGGGGGATCCTCCCCAGAGCCCGCGGGGCTCGCCGAGAGCGCGTCGCTGCCGCCGGCCGCTCGCCCTCTCCGTAGGCAGGCATTGTCTGGCGGCCGCGCGCTCCCCAGTCGCTTGCTTCTCCCGCAAAGTGATCCCCACCCGCTCCTCCCTTTGTATAATCTTATTGCCAGTAGAGATCCCCTCAACAATTATGTTTCCCTCTCTTCTGGTGGATGACGAGACGGACGACAAAATTTTCCACTCTCCCTACCAAACCTGCTTTCCTCCCCATCCCCCTCCCACATCTAAGCACAGAGACTTACCAGGAATAAGGTCAGGAACGAATCGCCCAAATAAGGCCACCTGGAACCGGGAGATGCAATCGAGTGGTTTCTTTTGCCTATTGTATCAGTGCATTTCCATGTCAAGAGGTGTTGGTGTTGCTGTCTGGTAGGCTGTGCCTAAAGAGGGGGGAGAGAGAGAGAGAGAGAAAGAGAGAGAGAGAGAGGGAGAGATAGGGTGAGAGAGATGAGGAGAGAGTAAGAGGGGAGAGCGAGAGAGCGAGAGCAAGACAGCGAGAGCGCGCGGAGAGAGTTGTACAGATGGACCCGATGCAGTGACTGACTGGCACGCAGACACACACTTTTTGTTTGCTGCACATAATCTGCCCAATGACGCGTGACAGCCCACGTCCCCTCCCTTTAACTCTTTGCTGGGCTGGGCGCTCCCTTCGGCGCCGCCTGCCTCGCAGCGGTCTCTCTGGCCTGCCCGCGCCCCTCAGGTCCTGAGTACCTTCCCCAAGTGGCAAAGCCTCTCTGAGTGCAGCCCGGCCCGCCTCCTCCTAAATTAGCTTCGGCCCTCTGGGACTGTGAGGAGGGAAAAATCAGTTTCGGGGTCGGAAAGGGAAGTACCAAAAGAACTGGAGCGGGCCTTTCTCCGTTTGTCTCGGCACTTGGGGAACCTCTGGCAGAGAGCTGGCCACCCAGCGCGCGCACGGAGCCCGCGCGCACTTCCGGAGTCTGAGTTCAGTAAAGGGGTGGGGGGTTGCGGATTAGCCCCTAGAGATTCCCTGGCCATTGAGCCCCCGCTGATTTGCGCAGCTAGTTCCCTGAGGGTGATAAGCCGGCGCCCGCTCTCTCTTGGAGCGCTCACCCTACCAACCCCTTCCGAGCAAGAGTCAGAAAGGATGCGCTTTGGTGAGAACTTGGCTCAGTCTTCCCGGGGACCCAGAGATGGGGTGAGGAGGATGGAGCGAGGACGCCGCCAGACCACGGCAGGGGATTTACTGGGGTCATCTGGTCCCAGAACTCGAGTACCTGGGCAGGGAAAGGTGAGGGGAGATCGGTGGGAAGAACCCCGGTTACTAGACTCAAGATGTTCCTGCCTTTCCGCTCGCTGCCTGGCGCGTTTTTCGTAGTCCCCGAGGGGGTCCCATGTTGCGGGCGGCCCGTATTCTAAGACCTCGGAGGGGGGTAGTCAAAGTAAAAATTATTACCAAGATGGGCTCCGGAGAGCAATTTACATCCAGCCGGTGGTGGAAGAGCGGATGGGGTTGCCGCGGTGTTCTCGGGAGCCTCGTTTGCGCGCTAAGCCACTTAGAGGCGCTGGCTTGCCCCTCCAGTGCCGCAGCTGATGCTAATGACTTGAGGACTTTAACAGCCTGAAAGTTGACTCCTTCAACAGGGTCCGCAACACATTTTCGCTGGGGGATCTCTGGGTTCTTCTTCGCCTTTCAACTCTCAACTCCTATGGGAAGAAAGACCTTTGAGTGTATAGGCGGCTCCACTGTCTCAGCCCCACCCACAACACCGCTACTTTGAAGAGGACAATCTGTTAGCTTCAGGATAAATCGGATTGTGTCGCCTGCTGAAGTGGACCGAGCAGAACCATGACTTAAGGAGGAGACAGTCTCGTTTTTATCCAGTGTTAAAATAAGGTAAGTGGTTTGGGGGTTGGCAAAGAACAGCTTAAAAGGAAAAGGTGCTTAGTGTTGGTTTGAGCCGCTCACGACTGTGAGACCTCCCTCCGGAACCCAGTGGGGCAGCAAGGAGCGCCCTTCCTCGGCACGCCCGCAGTCCAAGGAGGCCAGGGAAGGATTTTGCTGAGCAGAAATAAAGATGTGGGAGTAATTTTCCACTACGTGAGTTCTCTTCTTGATCTCTCTCTTCTCTCTCTGCCTCCTTCCCTCCATTTTCACCCGGCCTTGGTTAGCTCCCTCCTCCCCACCTAAGTTCCAAGTTTTTCTGATCAGACGGAGCTGCTGCCTCGGTTTAAATCGGGACTCAGCAAAAGAAGGGTTGCAAAAATCCTTATAAATGAATTTCCCCTTCATTTCCAGGTTAGCTACTAACTTTTCAAAGCTTCTTAAACTGAAAAAGCTTATTTCATCTTAACTTATCATTTCTCTTATGCATGTGTGAACACGGGCAGTGCCCATGACCCTAATTCCATTAAACTGTTGAACAGAGCAACCCTTAAAGTCTTCTTTTGCTGTTATTTAGAAAAGTTTGCCTTTCCCAGAAAAAGTCATCTGTCCATTCAAGCCACTTAAAAAAAATCCTCCTACATATTGTAAATATAAGAGCATCCACTTCAGAGTGTGGGCATTTAGATAACCTTAAACTCTAAATGGAACACATTTTTTCTTTCCCCTGGCCTTTCTTTTCTTAAATATACAGGACATTTAGACTATGTCTCCTTTGAAGTTCTGAAACCTAGACTCCAGTTTGTATAAAATAAAAAATGCTTCTGATACTTAAGTTGGGGGTGGGGGAGTTTGACCTTCCAAATCCCAAGACAGAAAATAGCTAAGGTTCAATACATCAACGAAGGGAGAGATGTATGGAGAATCTGACCATCAGATACTTACTCTCAGTTTCTCTTTTCTGCCCTCTACTTAAGATTTTCCCTACTAATTTCAGGCAAAAATCCCCAAATAAAAGAATTTCTAACATTCTATGAATCCAACCAACTCTTTGTCTTATGTGTTGAATGACTGCTATAACAAAAAACAAATATGGGTAAGATTAAGCCTGACATTCCTACTTTGAGGGTTTTCCAGTATTTTAAGTGATGCACATTTTGCTTGGTAATATAAATGGTCTTAATGACAATTATTAATAGGATGTAAAGAAAAATCTACAAATTACTTTTATTTCCCTAGAAATTTATGGGATAAAATGGTGCATAAACTACTTTGAAATCACTCCGCATTATTACTTACTGGAATTCACTGATACTAAATGAAGGATTGAGGCATTTATTCAGTTTCAAACAGTACTATAAAAATGCATCTCAGTCAATAGTTGAATCTAATTCACATGGAACAATGGGTTTATATTTGGAGCACTTTTCCATGGGATTTTATTTCCAATTAAATGATTAGAGAGATAACAATGAAGAGTGAAGGTATGTTCACCTTGCTCCCTTTAGCAAGGCTTCATGCAGTTATGGTAAAAAATACACATGTAGACAACTGCAGTATTGTTTTGGAAGAGAAGGCTGGAGAGAGGTTGATGAATGATTCCTGAGGTGGTGCCTTTTATGAACTAAGTGAGAGGGTGGAGAAAGGGGAAGAAAGAAAATCTGATTCTTAGTGAGTATTAGAATGGAAATGTCCTTTTTCCTCCCAGGGTAGAGAAGTAGGGCCCAAAATCCTTCAGCTTCTGTGACAGGAGGCTAGTGAAGTCTCTAAGAATAACTCACTTAGAAGGATTATTACCCTTTAAGAATGAAAACACATTGTTTCTCTTTCTCTCTTCCTTTCCAGGTCCTGGTTCATCCCCCTCTAATCCTACCTCCAAAGCACTATACCAGCAAAGCCTCAGTTGTCCAATTAAAAAAAAAAATCAATTCATGGTGAAAGGGAGAATACACTGGAAGACAAGAGGATGGCCAATGAAACAGTGTGTGGAAACTTTTTCCTAAGCTTATCAATGTCACACAGGGAGGTCTCAGGACAGGGCTGTGAGGGTTGGGGGAGGTAAAGAATGGAACTTCACAGTGGGATATTGCATTGCACAGCCTCACCTTGGAGAATAAGAAACTATCTAAGGGATAACTCAGAGACAAGAAGAGGCAGACTTGCTGAGCTGGAAAAAGTTTACAGGGATTGGGGGCGCTTCATTTTTTATAAGTGTACATGGTAATCTCAGTTTGGGTCTATTCCTTGCGTAAGTATTACAGTTGGTTCATCAGGTGATAAATGAATATTTCCCAGGCTGGTCCTGGCATAGCCAGACTCTCAAAGGATGGATAATTTGGTAGCCTGGGAGAAGGGACTCCAGTCTCCCAAGTTCAGGGATCATTACTCCTGACTCACATTGTTCTTGCTTCAGCTTTTCCTGTTTCTCAATAAATGGTAGCTGTTTTTAATGCTGCTTCTATACTACAACTATTGTCATTATGATTATAACCTACCTTTCTCAAGTTTATAACCTTCTCTGTGAGGGATCTCAAGTTCCACTCACCCTTCTCTTGGGAGTTCAGCTGTGAGCTGGATAATCTTTGAGGACTTTGTGTAATTCATTTCCTCTCCTGGATCTGAGTTGTAGTTAACTGGCTTAATGGCTTTTGAGTATGACTTCTAGCAGGGCTAGCAAACTGAAGTGATATTGAAGACAACTACCACAAATCTGAAATCAATGCCTCATGCTTAGCTGTGTGAGTGTGACCTGTGGACCAGATCCAATATCCAGCATCCTGACCCCTTAGATTCTCCCAGCTTTGATACCATTCCCCATACAATATCTAGAGAGCTGGCAGGGAATATCCCGGTTTTGTCAAATCTGTGGGTGATGATGTCCTTCCCAGACTCAGACACGACAGCCCTTGAATAGGTCTCAGCAGGAGGAGTAAGGTAGACAGAAGGAAATGTAAGCAGGGCCACAGTCAGCCACTCAGAGCTTCCTCACCCCGTGGGGCCAGGATACTGGAGATGAAGGGCTGTCCAGTAGTCTCAAATGGGAGAGAGCATCAGATTTTAGGAAGACTGTGTCTAGGCCTTGGAAATGTCACTAAGTTGAGAGGTTCTACATCAAATTTCTTTACACAGCCAGGAGAAGGGACATTATCTCAATAGTACTTGAGTTCCACCTCTTTTTCTCTCTGTTTTAGGCTGTGTATAATTCCTGAGTTAAAAAGACAGGTGCTGGGCGCCTGGGTGGCTCACTTGGTTAAGCGACTGCCTTCAGCTCAGGTCATGATCCCAGGGTCCTGGGATCGAGTCCCACATCGGGCTCCTGGCTCAGCAGGAAGCCTGCTTCTCCCTCTCCCTGCTCTCTCTGTCTCTGTCAAATAAATAAATAAATAAAATCTAAAAAAAAAAAAAAAAAAAGACAGGTGCTGATTGACATACATTGGATTCATAATAGGAAGATTACATAGCATCTGATCCCAGCTAGTTCTCTGAGGTATGGACTTTGATTTTAAATTGGGCTGCTGGGGGATGAGCAGCATAACACATTCCTCTCCTGGGAAGGGGTCTAGGCAGAATGCACACATGCCCAGGACTTTCTAGTTTGGAATCTGTCCATGGCATACGTTCCTGAAGGATTTATCTGATTTTTTCTAAGGAAAAGGGAGACAAAAAAAGAAAAAAAAAAAACATGAAAAGGATTTGGGGGAATAGATATCAATCAGTAACCACAACAGCAGCGATTCATATTGCTTTGTTAGAGCCTTGAAAATATAGTTTGATTTCTTCACAGATTATGCTCTCATACCTAAACTGTTCCCCTGGTCATACCACATATTGGACTCTTTGAGTGAAAACCATCTTTCATGATTTCAATTCAAATGAACTGCCAGTGTTTCATGATTTAATCCAGGCATATTAATTTAGCATCAATGAGGGAATGTCTCCCCAAGCATCATATGGAAAGCCTATAGCTTTTAGTAGATTTTCATAAGCACTTAAAAACTACCAATGTAAGTCTTTCTTCAATTATACTTGAACAAGTGGTCTCTCAGAGAATTCAAAGATCAACTTGTCACAAAAAACAGTAACTGCATGACTACTATAAACAGTACTACTGTATATACATTACAAAATGTCAGAAATAACAGGTAAGGGGATTGAAAGTTACACTTGTTCTCTTGAACTTGCTGATTGAAAAACCAGTTCCCAGATTGACTTGATAGTCTTCTGGTAATTTAATATAAAGGTAACTAAGATATAATTCATAATCTCCTCTAAAGTTCTGAGGAAAATTCATATTTTAAAAAATAATATCCAGAAGTATCAAACAAATTATTCACAAAGCCCAAGAAAAATAAACATATTGAATATGACCTGGATGTTGAGATTTCCTGAAGGCCTAAAATTCAGTTTAGGTCTGAACAATTTTTATACCTAATCAGATATGGTCCTTTAGTGTGTGTGTGTGTGTGTGTGTGTGTGTGTGTGTGTGTGTTGTGTTTATGCAGGTTGGGAGTGAATACTGTTGAGGGTAGCAATTTAAAAAAAACTTCCAGGACTGTCATTTTTCTTGGCTCCATGTTCACAGAGTAGTCAGTGCTCCTTGTTGCATGTTTTCATGTAGGATGGTTTTGAGAAAATAGCCTGTGTGAAGTCCTGTAGAAGAGCAATTGTTCCTGGAGGAGCAAAGCTGAATAGAGTTCTAAAGAATATATTTCCCACATGATCTGAGTATCTACTACCTTCTATGTGTGATCAGATGCCTCATAGCATAATCTACATTCTAGACTCAGTTTACCTGGGGCCCTAGGAAGTTAATGTTTCCAGACAAGTGGGAATCATCTGAATGTGTGAAAATATCTTGAGGAAGTCAATGTACTGAGAGTGTAGCTGTTTCCATTCTTATGTCTGCTATAGGCAGATAGTTTCTGATGTCTGGAGTCCCTGGTGTTGATGTCTCAGTAAAGAGCTCAGCGACAGAGCTAAGAGTGCAGAGAAGGCCAAATGACAGAGATGGGCTTCATTGTGGGGCTAACGAGGTCTCCCTGAGAGAGACTCAGGAGGTCACTACCCCCACAGTACCGGGAAGGGCAGGTACGGCTCCCACTACGTTTGGGATGAGTCACCAAAGAGTACAGAGCCCCGACACTGGATGGGACCTGGGAAGAACAAGACTTGCCACCTTCACTGGGGGTGTCTCTTTTAGAAGCAGTCAGCGCAAACTCTGAACGTGGGGGCCAGAAGAGGCCACGCGGTGTGCTAGGTGTGCTTCCCATACGCCCTGGACTAAGCAGGAAGAAGCACCACGTTTTCCACGTTCTCCAGCCTCCTGCCGCCTCCCTGGAATCATTGCCAACTCCTGTCTCCTGCTAGGCGCCGCGGGCAGAAAGGCGTCCTGAAGGCTGGGCTTGAGGGAGCAGCAATGCTCTTTTTACCACTGCCACCACCCTCCTCCCCACCCCCTTCACACGTCCTCCTGCAGTAGGTCTCCTCCGAGCCTTTTCAGAGGCATGGGCTTATGTTCTCACCTCTTACGGGCTGGGTTGCCAGTGACCTCGCCCAGCCTTGGCTTTCCTCCTCAGCAAACTAGGGCTGGAAAGGGCTGCCTCCCGGGTCTGGTCGCGGTGAGGACTAAGAACGAGGGTGAACGCGTTTTGGAAAGCCAATTCCTGAGCAGATGGTAAGGGATTACTTCCAAGAGCTGGGGTTAGTTTCATTGCAGCCTTGAACATCCCAGAGAGGTCGCAGTGCCTTTATTAGGGAGCCTTCTTGACTCAGATGTCTGGAGAACTGACCCAAGAAGGACCTACAACTCAGGTTCAGGCCCCACCTCCACCAGGGGAACGAAACTCCCCGGGTTTGAATCCCAGCCCCTGACGTTGGGCAGGTAATTTAACCGGTCTGTGCTTCAGGCCTTCATCTGAGAAGCGGGAGGGGTAAAGGAAATTCTCCTCGTAAAGTCATTGCGAGGGGTGAGGTGATATTTAGCGAGTGCAGAGAACAATGCCTGGAACATAGTAAACAGCTCTTTCAGTGCTGGCTATGGCTACTGTTAGTGACATTGCCTTCATTTCCTTTTTAGAAAATGTGGGAATTGTATTGTGCACCCGCATTCGAAGCCACTCAGTGAAGGCTAAAGGATTTCTCGAAGTTTCTAGGGAAACCAGAAGGAGGTACTGGATGATAAAGGAGGCGGGAGGAATCTGTTCAGGTGTTCAGGGATCCCTTCTACTGCCAAAGGAAGGGCCCGAATGTTCCAAGCACAGGCGGCAATCCCCATTCCCTCCTCCCCTCTTTATTTCGGAAGAGGCAGTTTTGTGCCGGGAGGCCGATTAGATTTCGATCCCTCTTCCGCCAGGGAGTCCTTCCGTTAGAACTGACAGCGGCGCCACGTTAGAAACGCCGGTTAGTCAGGGCAGCAAGGGCTGGGGTCCTGCGACCCCAAACGTAGGACAAAGAGTATGTGAATGCCTCGCTGGTTAATTCAAGAGCTGTGGCCAGAAAGCCGAAGTCTGGGTGGCCAGAGAAACCTGGGGAACCAGGGCTCAGGGCCTCCGAGCCGCGCTGCCCCTCCTCTCCCTCGAAGGGCGGCGGCTCCGCAGCGGGAGGCCCCGGGGCTGAGTGGGAGGCTCCGGCCCTCCCCTACACCCCCGGCGGGAAGCTGCCCTGCTGGCTGGGCCTTCGAGCAGCGCGAGTCCACACCGACTATCTTCTGGCCCCGCCCCCGACGCCCGCACGCGGGCTGCGCGCGGAGCATTGTGGGCCGCACGGCCGACGGAGTCCCTCTCCCGGCCAGGGCTGCGGGGCTGAGCTTCCTCCCCGGGCTGTTCGCGGCTTTCGGCGCAGCCGCAGCCCGGAGCGGACGCGTTGTGTTCGCCGCACGCCTACAGCTTCAAGCTCTGCGAAATCTCCCGCCCAGGCAAGTTCCCGGCCTCAGAGGTCAGTTGTGGCCTCCTTATTGCTCTTTCTTGTGAAGGATCCGAGAGGCAGTGGTTAAGAGCCCGGAATTTGGGATCCTAAACACTTATGTTTGAACCCCAGATCTGCAATCTACTGGCTGTGGGTCTTTGAGCAAATCACCCACCCTCTCTGAACTTTAGTTTCCTCATTTGTAAAATAGCAAAAACAACATTTATCTCATAGAGTGGCTATGGATATTGCAAGAGCAAGCCTGGGTTCAGATCCCAGCTGGACTACTTGCTTGGATTAGTTAGCCTCTCTGTGCTTCTGTTTTCTGTGAAGAAAGGGGATCTGTGAACTAGAGAGAATAGTGTTTGACTCGGAGGGTCATAATTAAATGCGATAAGCCTGGCAGAGCATTCAGCCTAGCACACAGTAAGAGCCCAAACAGTTAATTATTTAAGGTATCTCAGGGCCTGCCACTTTGAAATCTAGGTAAATGTAATTTATAAGTCCTGGTTTTTCTGCTCCGCTTTTTCTCCTCTTCAGAGAGAAACAGTGCACAAGGGTGTGTGTGGCTATGTGGGGTGATAGTGCCTGCAGAATTGGGAAGAACTAGCTTGTGGCAGAAAGTTAGAGGACACTTCCGGAAGCTGCATGCCTTTCCTTCTATCTAGCCTTTCCTCTTCAGTTTCTAGGGACAAGGTAAAAGAATAGGAAAGGCAGGGAGAAGGAGCTTAGAACATGAAAGATTCTGAACAAATGTTTCTTTACTAGAAAATGTCATTCCAAATACTAAGGAGACAAGGAGTCTGTCTGAAGTGGCATGGGGGACCTAGGATTGGAATTGGCTTCCATGTCTCTGTGCCTGGCTGCCAGTGCCTGGCTCCCGATGTTGGGAGTATTTCTGTGTCTTTAGTCATGGCCCCTGGGAGGGGAAGATCTAAGGGAAGAGATGGAAGAGAGAGTGGCACTGCTCTAGGGAACAGGTTTTGGGAATAGGAGGAGCAAGGGGGTGCAGCCCTCTGCATATGGAGAAGGGATACATTCCTGCAACAGATATAGGGCATATCTGACTCAAGAGAAGTAAAACTTAGGTGAGGGGAAGAAAAGAGAAAAGATGCAAGGATCAATTATCTTGGGGTGAATTGGGCCTTCAGTGGAGTGTTGGAATCTATATTCTCCAAAGCTTGAAAATTCAATTAGGAGTCCAAAAACTGACAGTCACAGACATCCCTTAATCATCCTTGCAGCTCAGACCGTTTCAGAGTAGAGGAGCATACCCACATCACCATATGCCTCATCAGGGCCCCACTCCTTCAATACCAGTGACCTTCTCTGATTTTTCGGATGGGAGCGCTAACATCCCTTTTTGTTCTCTATAGATAATAGGATAATGGAGGATGATGTTTTACCCAGCAACTAACGGGACATCCGGGAAAACATGGCCCCAGACGCGTTCAAGACCATACCCTTCTGCTTTTTCCCTGAGGGCAGAGAATGCTGATGCAGCAATGGTCACCTAAGGTATTCCATAAACCTCTGGCTCTTAGTCTGCTCTCCTCTCAGACTCTGACTAAAAAGTGCTGTTAGCAGAAAAGAGAATAAAATAAAATAAAACTAATTTCTCAGTGTTTCCACCCCCCCCCCCCCCGCCACCAGCAAAAGAGACAACTGGTGAGAAGGAGCCACAACTTGGAAAAGATTTATTTTTCCTGGCCATAAATCTCACCCCCTTGTTCCTCTGCCCAGCGAAGCATGATAAAGTCCTTTTCCATAAAGTATTCAGTATTAGAGCCACAAAGCTCCCCCAATCAGTAGCCATCTGCTTCTACCATAACTGCTGCTCCCGAAGCAGGGAAAGCAGCAGCAGAGAAAGGGCACCACTGTTAGGCTGCTGGACAAATGAGGAGACTGAATAGCTTTGGTTTTCCTTGTGTATCTGTATCTATAGAGACAGGAGAAGAAAGGCCGCATTATATTGATACAACAATTGTAAAACAAAACACGGAAGAGGCATCTAAAGGGCAGTATCGCATGCATCAGGGGTCCCCAGATAAAAGGGGAGCTAACAGATTTATAGAAACCTTTAATTGGTTTTCAATTGAAAGCTAAAGAGGCTGGGGCAAAGCTGTGAAGAGTGGCAAAGTGCCCTCCTTCAGCCGTCTGGGAGGCGTGATCGATTTCATGGAGGGAGAAAAGAATACGGAACCATCCTGCACCTCTGCTGAGAGCAGAGAGCGACTCTGTGTTACAAAATTTCTCCTTGGCCAGGGAGTTATGATATGATCATAATAACAGAGTCTCTCAATCTCTCTTTTTCTTTCTCTCTCCGCCCTCCCTTCCTTCTCCCCTTCTTCTCACTCTCCCTCAGACTAGTAGGCAAGTGGAGAGGGAAGCAAAGGATGCAAAAGTAAATCTAACTCTCCATCCCCGGAAGAAATAGACCCCAGCCTAAAAACACCCGGCTTTAAATCTGTTCATCTGCCAGGAGGGAGGCCTCTTTGACAGAAATAGGAGTTCCTTTCCTCTCTTTTTTTTTCTAGACTCAAACAGGAAAAGCTAAAAATCACAGGAGACTCTACACTTAGTACAGTGAGAAGTCTTTGCTTGCGCCCACTGGGGTTATTTCAGAGCAGACGCTCCACTCAGCGCGCACCCAAGCGCCTTTTCTCAACCCCTTCCTGCGCAGCCGGTGGCGGCCCCCACCAGGCTCGATTGGCAGTGCCCACCCAAACAGCCCCGTCTGTCTGTCTGTCTGTCGGTTCCTAACACTAATTTATTAGCCTGACCCTCCATTATCTTTTTCGATTTTCTACTTAATCACAGATAAAAGGCAATGGTGCAGATTACGATTATGAAGGACTAGGAGATGGTTTTGAACAAAATGGGAGAAGGGAAATAGGATTAATTGAACATGATAGTGAAATCTCAAATGTGAGGAACAGGCCTGGGGGGAGGGATCAAACCCTGACCCCTGTGTGCTGTGGGTGGGCCCCTCTGCTTCTCCTAGTGCCTTCATAAGGAGGCATCCCCCGAGATGAGGTCACTTGGGTCCCAAACCTGCAGAGGTGAGAGAACTGGGTTTCCTCTCAGGCTCCCAACCTTGCTAGGTGCCTGCCACCCAGCTCACTCTCCCTTGCCCCTCTCACCTACCACCCCCACTCTGCTGCGGCCCCTGCAGAATTTCAGGACCCCTGGCCAGTGATTCCACTCCCCAACAGGTTTGCCTTTTGGCTGAAGTGCACCCCATTATTGCATTAATGCACCACAAGTCTTCTCTCACAGTTTTCCTGTCTTTGAACATTCCTCTAGTGAGTCTAAATCTTCGTGAAATTGCAGGAAAACAAGTCTAGTAGGTCAGAGATTGTATTTGTTCGTGTAAGGGATTAATAAAGCCCCTTTCTGATGCTGCTTTCCAGAATTACATTCGGGATTAAAAAGCAGACACGGCATGGGCACACATTTTGCATTCACTGGTGGTTGTGATTAATGTTTCTGAGGGGATTTGTGCTGGGAGCTTACAGAACGTGCTCTCGGGGGTCTAATGCCCAAGGGCTGCGGCGCAGGGGTGAGCAGAGGGTCTGTGGGCACGCGCCAGAACACGGGGGATTAGAGAGGACCTCAGATGGGCGCCGACGCCAGGCGCAGTGGCCTTTTAGTGCCTCCCTCGCACCCCTTCCCCCCCCCCCCCCCCCGCACCCAGCAGAACTGCTTTGGAGGAGAAAGCAGTGAGAACTGTCCCGGGAGACAGACTTGGTTTTTAGGATATGTGTAAGGGGAAGATGCCCCTGAGTGGTCCGACTTTTGGGTGGAAGAAAGGGGCTCAGTACCAAGGCTCTGAACTTAATACCTGCATCCTCCAAGAGGAATCAATTCCGAACTACCTGTTCAGGGGAAGCGCTGTTCCCGAACGCGTCACGTCACTCACCGGCAAATAAAGAGTCGCCAGCCCCTGGCCAGTAAGAGAATGAGCACAACCCCGCGAGCCGCCAGTCTCAGGGCTGCTTACTCGGGCACCCAGAGAAGCATCTGTGGAGAGGAGCCGGAGTCTAGGCCTGAGATCCATTCCCCTTCCATCATCCCCCAGTGGGCGGACAAACCCTGAGCCAGTGAAGGGACGAGGGAAGGAGAGGCAAGTTCCAGAATGGAAGGAGGGAGGCGGAGGGTAAGAAGGGAACCTGGCAAGCAAGAAAAAAAGGGAAGCAAATAGGAAATGAGAGAGAGGGGTAGGAAGAGAGGAGAAATGGGGAAGGAAGTGGTCACAGCTGGTGGGCATTACCGCTCTCTGGCAGAAGGGGGCACCCTTCCGGCCGAAGCAGCCTCCCACTGGGCTGCGGGTGGGATCCCCTGCAAAGCCCGCCCTACAGCCCCAGCTTGGGGGAGCTGGCGCCCCCTCCTGGCGGCTGCGAAGCCGCTCCTCGCGCTCCCGCGGGTGCTCCGGCCCAGCTGCTGCTCGGGGTACTGGGAGGTGGTGCGGGAAGAAGGTCAGGGGACAGTGAGGGGGGTGTGAGGGCGCTATGACACTGGTCAGGTTCTCCCTTCTTTCCCTGCACCCTCCGACTCGGCTTCCTCACCTGGGGCCTGCAGGGCTCCTTCCCCGTGAGCACAGCTCCTGCGTGCCCCTCGGCTGCCGGGCGCTGCCCCTATCAGAGCCGGTGGACGAGCCTGCGCTCTTCGCAGAGCGGTCCTTCCCGGTCTCTGCCGCAGCAGCTGGGAGGGAGGGAGGGAGCGACCGCCGGCTGCTGCTGGGCGGTGTCTGGGGGCCTCGAGCCCAGCGTGAGGAGCCGCCATCTGGAGCCTCGGCAGCGGGCGGGGTGCGGATGCAAGGGAAGGGGCCTGGCGGCTCAGCCCAAAGGGGGCAAAGGACAGGGGTCTGAGCGCGGGAGCGGCCCGAGTGCTTGAGTGTGTGTGCGAGTGGGTGAGGGGGTTTGGCCCTTGGGGAGAAGCAGAAGCCTGCCCCTGTCAAGCCCCCTGAATTTCGGGGCTGTTCTGATTGGCAGGTCTAGTGAAAGCGCAGGGTCCTACTAGGCAATTCCTTCATCTATACCAGCCTGGGTGTGGAGAGCTGGGCAGCGTTGGGGTGGGGGTCGGTGGGGTGGGTGGGGGTGGGAAGCCCAAACGCTCCGAGTGCTCGCACCCGCTAACTGTCAGAAGTGGTTTTCTCATTTCCCTTTCCTCCCACTTTGTCCATCCCACTTCAGGAAACATTCCTCTCCAACGGCATGGATTTTTGGACACCTACACACTAAGACAACTACTCAGCCAGAACGTGGGACAGGCACTGACAGGATATCACCCTTGGGGATAAACACACTAGTTTCCAGTGGACGGTGGAAGAGGAAGGGGATGGGGTGAAGAAAGCTCTTGCACATTTAGCATAGGGAAGGAGAGATTGGGGGGGAGGGGTAGGAAGTGTGGTTTCTCCCCCCTCTTTTCATTTCAGATCCTGCCAGTGTTTTTATATCTTTAACTTAAAAAAATAACATTCCCTTTTCCTGAGTTTGAATAGGAGAGGGGAGCAAACTCAAGGAAGGAAAAAGGTGTGAGAATATGGGAGAGAGCCAAGGGATCTGTTCAGGGAGCTCAAACTCTCCAGAGATGCCCTCAGCTGTAGGTTTTAGCCTACTGTAAGGGGAGCTGATTGGGTGTATGGGTGGTGGCGGGAGATCTGAAGTAAAAACTAATGACAGACCCACTCGCACCCCACGGCATTAAAATATACTCCCCTCCCCCAGCTGTCTCGTGTCCGGCAGAATGGCATTATGTAAAAGATCTGGCATGTCACCCAGTGGCACATCTGGTAGGTGTAGATGGCATTCATTAGCACAGGGCTTCTACTCTGCAGCATGCCAAAGCCCTGACAGAGATACCCGCTGCCAATCATTCATTCGCTGCCAATCTCTGAGTGCGTCCGGGCGGGATGGCTCCCTTCCACCCTGGCACCAGGGCTGGAGGAAACAATGTGTTGTGATATGAAGAGATGAAAGCAGAGCTGAGGATGCAAGGCACCCAACAGATGTATCCCGTGAGGAGATAACGGTGCAGAGTCATTTAGCAAGAAAGCATATGCAGGATCTCAGGAGGGAGGCTTGGGTAGGGGTCTGCCTGCCTAGGACTGAGCTGAGGGAGGGGCAGGGGAACCCCTTCGGAAACCTCAAAGTTTGTTCTCTAAATACAAAGACCAACCCTCACAGTGGGTTTTGCCTAGTAGGTCCCCTGCTCTTTCACTAGACCTGCCAATCAGAACAGCCCCGAAATTCAGGGGGCTTGACAGGGGCAGGCTTCTGTTTCTCCCTTCTTCTCTAAATACAATCTCCTCCACATCCCGTGTGTACCTCTGTTTATCTAACTAGCTCTGAAAAGATGAACTGTGGTCCTCCTGAAGTCTTTTGATTACCAATATAAAGAGAACTTTAAAAAACCTGCTGATTTTAATGTTGCACCTTTCTCTTTGCCTTGTAATTTGAGAAGGGAGGGAAGCTGTCAGGCTGTCTCCTGAATTTTAAAAGATAAAGTGTGTTGGGACCAAAGTGTTTCATACATTAGCAACATGAATGGAGGAAAAAAGCTAAAGGTCTTAATTCCTAGCCTTTCAAAAGGGATAAAGATGAACAAAAGAAAGCAAAGGGGATTATTAAAATGGCAAAAGATGGATAAACATAAAATCTAGGATAAAGCTTGCCTCTGAGGTTGTCCTTTTTCTTAGGCTGGGTGGCGATTACCTAGCTGGTCAGTGTATTGTTTTTCTTTATGCCATGCGTATATTTTATAAATATTCTATTTATCCATCCAGTATTTAATAAAGCAACAACAAAACTCAGAGGCTTGAGAGTTTGCAGAATGAAGTTTTTAAGTTAAGTCTAACAGCTCTTTATTGAATATGTACTTGTATATAATGTATAAAATGATAATACTCTTTTTAGTATAAGAATATACTATGAAATATTTGGGGCATTCTTATACTCGTTCATGGTCACAAGATGACTGCTATAATTCCAGACATCACACCATTATTCTAAGCACGAAACAGGGGACAGGGGCAAAGAAAAATAGTTCTTTCCTTTTATCAGTAAAGGGAAAACTTTCATTTTTCATTAGCCAGACATGGGTCACCTGACCACAGATACCTACAAAGGAGTCTGGGGGAACTAGCCTTTAAAGTGGAAAAAGATAGGGATAAGGGAACTAGGAATGGTTATTGAGTTGTAGCCCTGAGTGTCTGCCAAAAAATTGAAGACAAAGAAGACTTAAGTTTAGCACCAGGCAAAAGCAGATTCTCAAATTTTATCATTGTTTTAAATAAGAGTCTTTTGTTCTCACTATAGTCATTAGAACTTATCAGTTAGGGATACTGTACTTGAGTTTAGCAATTTTTTTGTGAATTTCATCAAATTCTATTTCAGAATAAGGGCTCAAGCTTAACATAGTCATAAAATAGGTGACATAAAATCTGACTTATATTTAAATAAAGTCTTGGGAAAAAATGTAAATAGAATTTGTTTACAACTTTTTATTTATTTATTTATTTAAAGATTTATTTAGGGCACCTGGGTGGCTCAGTCGGTTAAGCATCTGCCTTCAGCTCAGGTCATAATCCCGGAGTCCCTGGATCAAGTCCTGCATGGGGCTCCCGGCTTAGCGGGGAGTCTGCTTCTCCCACTGACCCTCCTCTCTCTCGTTTTCTCTCTCTCTCTCAAATAAATAAATAAAATCTTTTAAAAAATTTAAAAAATATTTATTTACTGGGACGCCTGGGTTGCCTGGGTGGCTCAGTCAGTTAAGCATCTGCCTTTGGCTCAGGTCATGATCCCAAGACTTTGGGATCCCAAGCCCTTATTGAGCTTCTTGCTCAGTGGGGAGCCTGCCTCTCCTTCTGCCTGCCGCTCCCCCTGCTTATGCGTGCTCTCTCTCGGACAAATAAATAAATAGAATATTTTTAAAAATAAGATTTATTTACTTATTTGAGAGAGAGAGAGAGAGTGGCGTGGCGGTGGGGGGGGCAGGCAGGGGCTGAGGAAGAGGGAGGGAGAAACTCAAGCTGACTCTGCACTGAGCACGGAGCCCAATGAGGTGCTCCATCTCATGACACTGAGGTCAGACCCTAGCAGAAACCAAGAGTCGGAGGCTTTAACCGACTGCACCACCCAGGTGCCCCTGTTTACCAATTTAAATAAATAAGGAAAATGGCTTTTGTTAAGACTAGAGTTTTAATCCCAACTGGTTTACTAGATGTGTGACTTTGGGCATTTTACTTGTCTGAATCATGTGTCCTTACCTGTAAATGTGTAATAATGTTAGTAGTCTTGCAGGGTTATGGTGAGGCTTAGAAATAATGCCACACATGGATTTTAAAATGTAGTAATCATTAGGGACCCAGAAGGAAACAGAATTCAGTCCAAATGAAGAGACTATTTACAAAGATGTAGGCATGGTAATGGGAATAAATGAGATGATGAAGCACACAGAAACAGTTAACAAGAAGCTCTTAGGAGAGCAATTAGTGTTTCTGGAGCTAAGTAAGAACTGGAACCTTGAAGGAGGGGCCCAGTGAGAATCATAGAGATACAGCTAATGCCAGAGAGGCAGTGGTATAGCAAGGAGGAGGCAAGGAAGAATGCCAATCTCTTTCTTCTCAAACTTTCCAGTTTCACGTTGATATCTAACATCGGCCAAACCCATCTGGAAACTAGGTGGTAAGGTGTTGGAACATGATGATGAATCTGCATGGGTTAGCTTCTGAGGACATAGAGCTAGGCATAGAAAGATGGAGAATGGATCTCAAGGAGACAAATGGAGAATAACTAGCATACCACTATTACTATTCATAAATAAGATTCTCCAGGAACCCTCTCTGCAAACATCTTTTCAATTCACAATTCCAACTGAAAGTAAAATCTTAGCAGGCTTTAGGGGTGCCTGGGTAGCTTAGTCGGTTAAGCGCCTGCCTTTGGCTCAGGTCATGATCCCATAAGCCCTGTGTTGGGCTCCCTGCTCACAGATGGAGTCTCTTTCTCCCTCTGCCTCCTCCCGCCTGCTTATGCTCTGTCTCTCTCTCAAATAAATAAAATCTTAAAAAAAAACCCAAAAAACAAAAAACTTAGCAGGCTTTGTAAACCTAAGCCTCCAAGTTTTGAAGAATCATCTCTCAGAGCTCTTTGGCTGAAAGGTCCTGACTAACACTCATGAGAGATTTCCAGAGGTCTTGGCAGGCTTTGTAAGCCAAGACCTGGAAGAATTTGAGAGTACGCCCTATTAACTTCCT